AGAATCGAAAACAATTCGTACTTTTTCGATTAGACCTCTCAATCAAAAGTTATAGACTAGAAACCAATTTCGAAAAAAAATTCAAAGTGCTGTAACTTTTGAACTAGTAGCCCAATCTTGGAACTGTTTGGAATTATGGATTCTACAGGCCACAGTCTATAAGAAAATTTGTTTTCCGGATCGATCTGAGACAATTTTTTTTTCAGGGCTCAAAAAAAGGCAGTGTATAACCTTCCTTTTTTTACCAAAAATCGACTGCACCAAAATTTCTCGGGAAAACACATTTTCTTATTAATTTTGGCGCGTAGAATCGAAAACAATTCGTACTTTTTCGATTAGACCTCTCAATCAAAAGTTATAGACTAGAAACCAATTTCGAAAAAAAATTCAAAGGGTTGTAACTTTTGAACTAGTAGCCCAATCTTGGAACTGTTTGAAATTATAAATTCTACCGGCCACATTCTATAAGAACATTGTTTTTTCGGATCGATCAGAGACAATTTTCTTTTCGGGGCTCAAAAAAAGGCAGTGTATAACCTTCCTTTTTTACCAAAAATCGACTGCACCAACATTTCTCGGGAAAACACTTTTTCTTATTAATTTTGGCGCGTAGAATCCAAAACAATTCGTACTCTTTCGATGAGACCTCTCAATCAAAAGTTATAGACTAGCAACCAATTTCGAAAAAAAATTTAAAGGGCTGTAACTTTTGAACTAGTAGCCCAATCTTGTAACTGTTTGAAATTATGGATTCTACAGGCCACATTCTATAAGAAAATTTTTTTTCCGGATCGATCCGAGACAATTTTTTTTTCAGGGCTCAAAAAAAGGCAGTGTATAACCATCCTTTTTTACCAAAAATCGACTGCACCAACATTTCTCGGGAAAACACTTTTTCTTATTAATTTGGGCGCGTAGAATCCAAAACAATTCGTACTTTTTCGATCAGACTTCTCAATCAAAAGTTATAGACTAGCAACCAATTTCGAAAAAAAATTCAAAGGGCTGTAACTTTTGAAATAGTAGCCCAATCTTGTAACTGTTTGAAATGATGGATTCTACAGGCCACATTCTATAAGAAAATTTTTTTTCCGGATCGATCTGAGAATTTTTTTTTCAGGGCTCAAAAAAAGGCAGTGTATAACCTTCCTTTTTTACCAAAAATCGACTGCACCAAAATTTCTCGAGAAAACACTTTTTCTTATTAATTTTGGTGCGTAGAATCCAAAACATTTCGTACTTTTTCGATCGGACTTCTCAATCAAAAGTTA